CACTTACAATAGCACATGTTCCTAAACAAATTATTGGGACTATTTACTTTCACAGTTCTGGCTTCCAGGACAATTCCATATATCAAGATATTTGTTATAGCCTATCTTGCTGTAATTTCAGTGCTCAGATATCCTGGTTAATTTTTATTTGTCTGCATAAAGTTGTGTTAATGGTTACTCTAATTTCTGTCTCTTTTAATTACTGTATTCACTTTCAGATCTCCTTGGAGATATGTATCAGTGAAACTGAGCCACTTCTCAAAGACAATAATTACACCTTCTTATTTCACTATTTTCCACAGTATGGAGCCCTGCAATTTGTGATATGAATACAAATATTAATTGCCTATTCAAACCAATGATAATCCACAGAAAATAGCCTGTTCTGTGCCTCGAACATAAAAATTACGATCCACTGCTGTAGATTATTCTTTCATTAATTATCACTACTACGAACATATCAGTTAATTTTCTGAAAATAAGGTCTATGAGAAGCCGAAAAAGTAAGTCTATGGTCAGTGTGTCTCTTGCAAAAATAACCTGATTTATCCAGAGAGGAAATATTACGTTTTATCTATTTTCCATTGAGCTAGTCTCCACACAGTTATTGTCAATATGTCTGGGGCCAGGTTTCTCCAAAGGTAAGAGTCGAGGACACTGATTTGCAAAAAATATATATAAATTTCCATTTTTACGATATGCCTATATATTTTCAACTCTATTATGACAGATGACTTGCCAGGGCAGATAAACAGGGAATGGTCAAATTGCTGCTCTTGAAGGTAGTTAAAAGCATTTTAAAAATGTCTCATCCCAAAGATATTACTTTGAGATTTGGCATATCTGACAAATTGTTGGAGAAATATCATTCCAAAAGTTCAGTAATCTGGGCTTTTGGGGAGTTTTAAATATTAACTATTCACCTTCATAAGATTTGAGATTTCTTACACTTAATTTTCTAAGGAAATTTAAGAAATCTCAAATCTTACATATAATCTTACAAATAGTTAATAGTCAAAACTCCCTAAAAGCCCACTTCAGTAAGCGTATAAGCTGTAGAGCAAGCATGTCAAACTTGCGGCCCACAATTAATATTTTTGCGGCCCACCTGCCCTGGGGCTGCTTTCCTGTCTGCCTTTTGTGCTCTTGTGATCGCAAGTGTGCTAAGCATTAGTCCACGCCAGCCACCGGATATGCATACAGACTGATACGGCAGCAGTGTGTTAATTAAATTAGGGGGAAGGCAGTGTATTAAATTAGGGGAAAGAGGGGGCAATGTATTAAATTGGGGGAGGGAAGGGGAAGTGTATTAGAGTGGTGGCAGGGGGGCACTGTGTTAAATTGGGGTTGGGGCAGTGTGTTAAATTAGGGGAGGGAGGCAATATATTAAATTGGGGGAGGGAGGCGGTGTATTAATGGTGAGGGAGCTGCCAGTGTATTAGAGTGGTGGGGGTTGGGGGGGCATGTATTAAATTGGAGGAGGGAGGCAGTGTATTAAATTGGGGGAGGGAGGCAGTGTATTAATGGTGAGGGAGCTGCCAGTGTATTAGAGTGGTGGGGGTTGGGGGGGGCATGTATTAAATTGGAGGAGGGAGGCAGTGTATTAAATTGGGGGAGGGAGGGGAGGGTGTATTAGAGGGGGGCATTGTGTTAAATTGGGGGGACAGTGTATTTATTAGAGAGGAGGGGGCGCAGGAGGCTGTGTATTAAATTGGGGGAGGCTGAATAAAATAGATTGGGGGAGGCTGTGTAATAGATTGGGGGGCAGTATATTAGAGTGGGGGTGATCGGGCAGTGTATTGGATTTAGGGGCAGTGTATTAGATTGGGTCTGCATGGAGGCGGTGATTGGCTGATTCCTATGGGAAAGCATTGGATTGGTTGAGATCATCAAGTTATACACACATACACATAAATACACATACACTGTCTATGTGTATTTTAATATTAATATATACATAATTATATATATATATTAATATCAAAATACACGTACAATGATATTGATGAAATATATATAATAAAAAATAAATATATAAATACATTAAAAAATAAAATTTAAAAATAAATAGATAAAAATATATATATACATGCATAATTTCGTTCTAACTGTATTTTAAAATTAATATATATATATTGATATCAAAATACATGTAGAACGAAATAATATATATATCTATATACATAAGTATATACATATATATATCACTATATGTATACCTATATATAAATAAAAATAATTTTAAAAAATTACATATATATATATATATATATACACACATATATATATATATATATATATATACACACGTATATATATAATAATTCTACATATATATTTAAGTAATAATTTTACATAATTAGGTCATTTTATTAATTACAATTTGCAGGACCTGCCTGGCAACCCAGGCCGAAAGTTCAGGGAATTTAATTTGCTAGCACTATATTTAACCCTGTAACTTTCCAAGACACCATAAAACCTGTACATGGGGCGTACTGTTTTACTCGGAAGACTTCGCTGAACACAAATATTAGTGTTTCAAAACAGTAAAATGTATTACAACGACGATATCGTCAGTGACAGTTAAATCTTTTTGCATTTTTCACACACAAATGGCACTTACACTGACGATATAATTGTTGTGATACGTTTTACTGTTTTGAAACACTAATATTTGTGTTCAGCGAAGTCTCCAGAGTATAACAGTACCCCTCATGTATAGGTTTTATGGTGGTTTCAAAAGTCACAGAGTCAAATATAAGGCTTGAGTTTCATTTTTTTCACATTAAAATTCGCCAGGTTGCCTTTGAGACCGTACGGTAGCCCAGGAATGAAAATTACCCCCAAGATGGCATACCATTTGCAATAGTAGACAACCCAGGGTATTGCAAATGGGATATGTTCAGTCTTTTTTAGTTGCCACTTAGTCACAAACACTGGCCAAAATTTGCGTTCAAATTAGTTTTTTGCATTTTTAAATATTAACACTAACTTTGGCCAGTGTTTGTGACCAAGTGGCTACTAAAAAAGACTGGACATACTCCATTTGCAATACCTTGGGTTGTCTACTTTTGCAAATGGTATTCCATCATGGGGGTAATTCTTATTCCTGGGCTACCATATGGTCTCAAAGGCAACGTAACCAATCTAGAGAATTTCAATGTGAAAAAAATGAAATATGTAACACGCTATATTTGACCCTGTAACTTCCCAAAACACCATAAAACCTGTACATAGGGGGTACTGTTTTACACGTGAGACATCGCTGAATACAAATATGTGTATGTTACTGCAGTAAAAACAAACAGTATTTTGACATTCACAGTTAAAATGTCACGTAGAACTAAAAAAAAATTTTTAATTCTTATTTTCTCCCATTTTTTTAATATTTTTTTCATATTAAATTATGTTCCATACCTAAATATTTGATGTTAAACGAAAGCCCTGTTTACCCTGAATAAAATGATATATAATATGTGTGGTGCATTTAATATGAAAGAGGTGAATTACGGTTGGACAGACATATAGCGCAAATGCCAGGTTTTGTTAACGTTTTGTTTTGATCACAACTTGTACATTTGGCTGCGGTCTTAAGGGGTTAACATGCTTGCTGTAGAGTGTTCCTTTAAGATTAGTATATAGAGTTGTTTATATGCAGTCATGTTTGTGTGTCATATTACATACTGAGCCTGGTTATCAGGCATAGTTGGTCCCCGAATTGCACATCATGCGGGGCTTCAATTATTCTTGTTCACAGGGTCACACTGTGAACACTCAGACTTGGATGTAGTTGCCAGCATGGCTCTATGATCATAACTGTTTTTTTCATCTCAATGTGGATTTTTCATTAAGTTTAAAAGAACTGCAAAGTTTGAAAATCCCAGTAGTTGACCCAAAACTTGGATATTCACCAAGTGATACTTTGTTTTTTGGTGTTTTTCAAGATATTCATTGATTTTGAATTTAAATTTGGGAGTATGAGATCGAACTCAGAGCTCAATTCAAATCAATTTAAAGGTGATTATGTTCAGCACAGATAAACTGGATGAATTACAAACTAATAGGGTTAAATAGGGTTATTCACAAATTGTAGGGTTTTAGCAAATTACAATACATAAAAGTTTATTATATATATATACACAAGGTTATGATGAAAGCTCCTTAGGGGAGCTGAAACATTGATGATTTTTTCTTAATAAAAGAATTTCTGAATGAAAAATCCTTGGAGTGCCAGTATCCTTCCTTATTTATTTATATATATATATATATATATATATATAATTAATGTAATTGCTATTTATACAATTCCTGATTGCAACATGAAGGTTAAAAATGTTCCAGATCAATTATAATCTTCATTTTTTTCTCTAAGATAAAAATCACTGGATTATTTTCTTAAGTAAGAATTTTTGGGAAATTTGGAAGAGAATTTGAAATGTTAGGCCAAAACAGAAGCACATTTTGACCTTAAATTTAAATTAACTTGGAATTTTCCACAATTTTTACTTTTTAGTAAATAACCCTGTCAGATAACTACCCTGATGATTTTGCCTCTGAATTGACCAATGTGGTCCAAGTGATTTTCTCATGATTTTAGGTTACTGAAGAACCCCATATTATAGAAATGACACAAGCAATTCTACTTATGGTTTTATAAAGAGAACAGGTATATTCATCTCAAAAGATCTTCATTTATAAAGCCATAAATAGTTCAATAAGATTTCTTGTGTAGTGCAACCCTAGATTCTGTGCCTACACTTTTTCATTGTGCATGTAGTTATAGATATCACCGACAGAGGGCACTGCAGCACAACTTTCAACCATGCAATTCTTGAGGTCTAAGACTTGGCTCATAAGAGACCTTCCTGGCCTCCTGAGACAGCAGTGGGGTGGGAGGTTATGTTTGTGTGGAAAAAAAAAAAAAAAAGCAACTTGAGTTTTTAAGTAGCACTTGAATTGCTGCAATGAATTCTGAAGTACCTGCAGTGATAACCAGGCAGAGGAGACACTCTTCACTTGCAAAGCATACAGGAGCATCAGGGGTGGTAAAATAGGCCAGGGTCCACATTCCCCAATCTACAGTCTAAGCAAAGCAACAGAAGGAAAGTTTCACATCCCTACAGCCTGTCTGGATACACTGGAGAGGGACCTGCGGGAAATGCTGTAAACAGTAAGTGATCGATCAACATCTATAGAGTGCATTTCTTTTTTACAGTTTATGTTTTAGAAGCTCCGAAATAATAGCTTTAATTTAAATAATGGCAATTTCATTTAAGAACAGAAGAGATACAGTTCTTACAAAATTAACAATATAATATAAATATATATACAGTTCATAGGAGTGTTCTAGAGTTAGAACACTCCGTAAGATATACAAATAAGGACATTTCAAGTTTATAGTTAATAAAAGTGTCAAATCTCAATTTTAGGCAAGATATAAATATATTTCCGTGGCCATGAATGTTTTCTTCTGCAGACTGCATACATAACTACTAAATATTTTCTGGAGTTCTACAGGGCTTCTGGTTATCAGATTAATTTGGCTTAAACTCTGCAATAAAATTGGCAAGTGGAAATCCATGCCAACTTCAAATGAAGCCTGTAGTTCTGCATAGACTTAGCACGGAACCCTGCGGTTATGAAGCTTATTCTAGGCTTAATATTAAAGAAAATAGCTCTACATAAACTAAAGATAGAACTCTGCAGAAACTTCTCATAGAACTCTTTAGCTCTCCATACACCAACCACTGGAGCCAACAGCTCTCCGTCCACTGAACTCTGTAAATGGATTCTGCAGTTCTCAAAACAATAGACCTTGTAGTATTCCATAAACGTTACACTGAGATGAAGTGTACTTAATTAACTAAACTTTTCAAGATCTCATACATGCTAATATATAGCTTCTGCATTTATCAATGTTGATCTCAAATGGTTCAAATCACAGTATAATCGATGTAGTTTACCGAGTATAAGACAAAATTGGAATGAAATGAAAACTGAATTTTAAAATGTAGGCAAAAGGTGTTGACTTTTGGAAAAAATTCTCAAAACACATTTATGGTCATTGCTTCAATATTTTTCTGTACATTTTGCAATTTGTATTTGGTTCACTACTGCTCAGTGTTTAATGAATACAAACTTAATGTGATTAAGATGGGAAAATAGCAAAACTTTTTTTTTTATGTTTTAGGGCTATTTGTTACTTCAAGTCCTCAGGAAATTTGATTTTCTGTATTAAATGTTATAGTTTGCTTATTTAGCACAATGAATGGATGATTTAGTCTGTATAAGTTTCTTTTTTTTATTATTAACTGTTCTAATTATAAAATAGCCGCAATTTAAATAATACCATAAACAAGCAGATTTCAAGTTCAACGCTGACCAATAAATAAATTAATACCATAAATAAATACATATTAAACTTAATCTGTTAACACAATAAAAATATGTATATTTTTTTAGCTAATATAAACCATTAAAGTCTAACATTTTAGTAGTTAATTTGTGAAAAATAGAGGCTGAAATAATGTTTTGTTGAAGCTGTGTTGTCACAAGGAAGGCATGAAAATACTAACTATTTTTACAGTCTAATCAGTCAAATATAAGTTGCTAATTTCAAATGAACTCAATGGGTTGTACTGAACTGCAATTTGAGTGTAGTTCCCCATCACCTCTATGGAGAGCTTCCTAATGTAAATTGTAATTACCAACACTCAAATCCAGGTTTGGTGAAATTATATGAGTTTCAGACCAGTTTTAATAGCCGGATTCTGTGGAAAGACAGTTAGTGATAACCATTGGTATACAGTGTCATACTCCCAAACCAGGGGGATCCTACACTGTAATCAAAAGGTTTGCCTGTACATCGGGTATGTATTCAGCTGCACGTACATATGTAAATGATACATTTAACCATGTAAATGATACATTTAAGAAGGAAATTTATCAAACATTGAAACATAGAATGTGACGGCAGATAAGAACCATTCGGCCCATTTTTGCCCAATTTTCTAAATACTTTCATTAGTCCCTGGCCTTATCTTAAATCCAGGATAGCCTTATGCCTCATGGCAAAAACAGCTGCTGTTCTGGGGCAAATAACTATAAAAAGGTCCAATTACTAACGAAACCAATAGAATGTATCTGAACATTTAGCACTTTGCACCAATGATTACTGCTCCGAAGCCAAACATTCTATATAACGAAGAAAGAACTTGGAATCTATATTGTGTTTGACAACTCATTATCAAATCTTTTTTTTGTGATTTCCAGGAGTTCTGTAAACATAGTTGTCTTAACCAGTAATACTTGGTGACCAGTGCATCACCCTTTGATGATCCAGTCCATTTGTACGTCCATCCAAGACATGTGAAGCTGGCGTTACTCTCTTTGTGCCTGCAATGCCCGTAGAGATGCCCTGGTGGTCCTGGTTCCTCTTTTCCTTGCTGCTTTTTCCACCAATCTCTGGAACCTCGTGCCCCAATGGCTGTGAATGTACAGACGACATGAGCTACAAGATCACATGTACAGATCTGCAAGTCTTGCCGGAGCTCCCCCCCAACACCGAAACTCTGTGAGTAATCCCCAGAAATAGTGTCATATCAACCTTGCTCTCTTATTCCACAGTATATAGCAAGAAGTATTGATTAGTTATCACTGCTGCATGTATAAGTTTATAACACAGAAATATAAGATGGATTGCATTAATTAGGTTGCATTATCTAACAGAGGATGATCCACATTCACAACGCCATTGTTCGTGTTTTTGTCCAATAAAATAAGGAATTTTGCAGAATAGTTAAATGAATTGCAAATATTTTTTCAGAGAGTCCAAGCCGGAAAGAGAGATCAGTTGGGACGGTTTTTCCATCTTGACCATTTTGGCAAAAGATTTAGCATTTATATTGCTGAAGCTGAAGAGTGATGTGCGATACCAACCTGTTTGGCTGCAGTAGGGTTAATTATTGCTATAATTTTTTTTTGGCTAGATGGAGACATATCCTAACCAGAGCCACTGAGGTTGCATAGTTCTGTAACTCTTAGAAAAGATTTGTCTTAGAAACGGCTTTTATCCATGTTAAAGGACACCGTAGGCACTGTATCTGCTTCATCTCATTAAACTGGTTATGGAGTCTGGAGTCCCCTGGTACCATCATTTCTTTCAGCATTAAACAGTTTTTAATGTTGTAATGTGTTAATGCTAAACAAGAGTCCACGGCAGTCTATCCCCTCTGTGCTGCTTTGGCTAATAAGGAAGTATCCTGAGAGGCAATGGGCAGCTGTGATTGGCTGAGTGTGTCAGCTGACTGCTTTTAACCTGTCAGAGCTCCAACTGACGGTATGAATGGGTATGACAACCAGGAAGTGTGTAATCTCTGCCTTAGCTACACATACAGAAGGGGCCAGACTGTGGGTGGCCAGGGACTCTTATTTTGTGGCATACTGCACAAACATGGTGCAACACTGAATGGAGGGACAGTGCCAGGCCACTCCAGGCACTATAACCAATTCAAAGAGACAAAGTGGTTATAGTGACTACAGTATCCCTTTAACTGCTGCTCATTAATCCACCTGCCAGCTGACAGCTCACACCCAGGTTTTTAAGGAAATGTGCGGTTTCAATGAGAAATATCTCTGCAGTCTTGAAATAGTTGCAGCTTTGCTGCCAGGAGGGTGGGTATTGTCTTTTTTGGGGGGGTTTTGTGCCATGAGGTATGTTAGGTGAGTTTGGTTTCCATACAAAGTACCATTTAACAGGGCGCAGGACTACTTTTCAGCCGTAACCTGCATAGTTAATTTACAGTAATATGCTATCTCAGGTATTACTCCTCTGGTAGACTAACACAACGGTGACTGGTCACAACAGGCTTAGTTCATGTCAATCGGAAGACCACGGGGATTGTAGACTTTACAATTATGAGAATAACAAAGGTGGCCATCCAAACGTACCCCAGTATCCTCGTTCCTTCTCCAACTTTCATTTTCTTCCTAACATCGTATAACGACTTTCATAGCCTTATAACTTACATCACTGTCCCCATTACTACGTTGATTGGCACTTCTCATAGCTGTATACTACATATTACTGTCCTCATCATTCCATACACTGATACTTCTCATAGCTGTATACTACATATAACTGTCCTCATCATCCCATACACTGATACTTCTCATAGCTGTATACTACATATAACTGTCCTCATCATTCCATACACTGATACTTCTCATAGCTGTATACTACATATAACTGTCCTCATCATCCCATACACTGATACTTCTCATAGCTGTATACTACATATAACTGTCCTCATCATTCCATACACTGATACTTCTCATAGCTGTATACTACATATAACTGTCCTCATCATTCCATACACTGATACTTCTCATAGCTGTATACTACATATAACTGTCCTCATCATTCCATACACTGATACTTCTCATAGCTGTATACTATATATAACTGTCCTCATCATTCCATACACTGATACTTCTCATAGCTGTATACTACATATACCTGTCCTCATCATTCCATACACTGATACTTCTCATAGCTGTATACTACATATAACTGTCCTCATCATTCCATACACTGATACTTCTCATAGCTGTATACTACATATACCTGTCCTCATCATTCCATACACTGATACTTCTCATAGCTGTATACTATATATAACTGTCCTCATCATTCCATACACTGATACTTCTCATAGCTGTAGACTACATATACCTGTCCTCATCATTCCATACACTGATACTTCTCATAGCTGTAAACCTCATATAAATGTCCTCATTGTTTCATACAATAATACTTCTCATCAATGTCCCCATCATTGTGTACAATGGCATCTTCTTCTTCACCTAATTAACAGCACAACATGGTGTATATCAAAGTTTTGTATGTCACGGCTCCTTTTGACTGTCATAGCTACATTCCTCCTTCTGATGTTTCCCCACCTAAATTGGTACCTTGTCACAGCTATTTGCCTCCTGTCATGGTTCCCATGACTGCTTTTTATGGTACCTTTTGCAGCTATTTAACTCTAACCTGTCAATTACTTGTGTATCTTACCTACTATTTTTATTATTATTATTTTGGCAACATCAAGTTACATAACTTGTAGTAGCAATGCAATATACATCGAAAATTACAAGTTGGAAGTAACTTGAGAAACACTCACCAAGGTATTCACTAGAGTGAGAATTCAGGGTGAATTTTAAATCTAGAGGATTAGTCCAACCACCATTTTACTGCTCAGGAGCCAAATATTTTATAGAACTGGCAGCAGTGCGGTTAAACTCTGTATTCGCAGTGTTTCATAGCAAAAAGCTTTACATACAGACTCCAGGCACCATGACCATTTTAAATCACTTAAGTCATGGTGCTTGAAGTTAATCTTTTATAGTCAAAATAAGCAAACTGGAAAGACTCCGAGCTATGATTTACATTTGGTTTCTCTAGTCTTAAATTTGAAATTCACTTTGAATTATTTCTTTAGTAAATAACACTTTATACCTTTATAAAGTAAGAATTGTGCCAAAATATATCTTGGATATAACTCTAACAATCAGGAAGGATCTATAGAATAAACTGTAGGGCTAAACATTTGTCCTACATGTCTCTTTTGAAACGTAATAACCAAACCCATCTAGCATCGATTGATGCAGCTGAACTCAAGAGGTAGCAATTGCCCAGAGCACCTGACTTACAATATATGTATTGGAAAGTCTATGATTGGACAGCCACAGAAAGTCTGGGCAGGGTTAGAAGTGGGAAGCTTGTAAAGGCAGCAGACAAGAGAACTGCAGGTTTTACAAGCCGATTTTAGATATACTCCAATGAAAATTAAATGCATACAAGCTTTCATTGGGGTTATATCTACTAAACATTAATTTTAAAAAAAAATTTGTATTTGGGCAGTGTAGTGTCCCTTTAATGTAGTTGTTTGGGGAGTATAGTCAGTCCCTTTTTGCTATAAACACTGCAACACGCTGTATGGAGATATCAAACGTTCCCCATATTGATTCAAAGCATCTATATGAGGAGATGCTGATTGGCCTGGGTGGTGTTTGACTCTACTCCCCCCTCACCCCCCGCCTCCTTGGCTGAGATCATCAGAATTGACGCTCTAAGCCAATCCAATGATTTCATACAAGAAAGCATTGTGATTGGCTGAGATCATCACTTCTGATGATGTCAGCCAAGGTGATGGAGCAGGGTGGTAAAGCCAAACGCCACCCCGAATTGACCCCGGCCAATCAGCATCGGCGAAACCAGCGTCAGCAGACCTGAGCAGTGCTTGAAATAAGGTACGTTTATACTGTATTTAAGGGAGGCGGGGGAGTACTAATTGTGTTTTTAACACTATAAGGCCAGGAATACACGTTTGTGTTCCTGACCCTATTGTGTTCCTTTAATAAATATGTGTTTCTGAGATCCGAAAAATATATTTAAATATAGATATTTACACAGATGTATTTACGCCCATCGTGAGTCAGGTAGAGTTATTCACTAAGCTGTGAATTGCTGGGAATTGGAATTCAAAGTTAATTTCAAAATTTAGGGCCACAATAGCCTAAATCGAAAAATTTTCCAGGTCGATTCTGTTTTCAGTTTGTCTATTTGGAATTTAAATTTGAAATTCACTTTTAATTCACTTTAAATATCCAGAAATTCTCAATTTAGTGGATAACGCTGTGTGAGTTTTCCTCTTGGATCCATGTCAGACGTTCTTACCTTCTTCCATTTGCAGCTGTCAGTCAGCATAGAGCGAGGAGGAAAAACAGAAAACTTGAGGGGAGATTTATCTATCACCTATCTGTTTAATTTTGGCATTTGTTTTACACAATTTATTAAATGTATCATTTTTTTTTTTTCATCTGTTGCTTTCTTTTGCCAATGCAACGGATCGCATTGAATTTTTCCACTACTTTCAATCTGCCAGTCTTCTGAAATGGCATTTTCTGCGAAAATGTTCGGTATTTACTATGGCGATATCGTCACTTTTTATATCACTATAATAAATACAATTCAAATGACAGAATGTAACCACTACTTTTATAGTTATAAAAAAAGACTAAAATCCATCAAATTCAACCTGTTGAAAAACAATTGTTGCAATTTCCAAATAAGCCACAGAAGGGTGAAAAATAAATCCTTCCTGACTCCATAATGGCAAACAGATTTCTCCTTGGATCAACAATGTAACTATGCCAACACAATTCAAATAATGATAGAATTTAACCATCCAGAACACTTTGATAAATATCCCAGAATGTTGCTGATTCTGATCCTCCACCGCCATTGCAATGCTTATTCTGACTGTGCCTGCACTTAACAGGACTGTGACATAGATAGCTACATCTTTAATACATATTTAAAAAAAAAAAAAGCACAAGTTTTAAATGATTTTCAATGTTGTATTCAGTGGTGCAATTTCATAGAACTGACGATTCCCATATCACATGGGAAATGTAATAGTCACTTACCTCTTACTACTCTACCCCCGTCTCATGACTTACTACCCGTCATAGTTGTTGATGTCTCCTGTCACAATGTCACAGTCTCCTGCTGTCCTGTTACGATAGGGGTCACAACCTAGCACCTCCTGTCACTGCCTCCTCACTCCGTAACATGTTTACTGTCACAGCCGTGTGCATCCTGTCTCTGTTTACATCCCTCTTAGATGGCTTCATATATTCTGTCATTGTCGCACTCACTTCCTAACATGTCACCTTGTCACCTGTAACAGGTAGGTCCCTCTTGACACCATACTCTTCCGTAATGTTGTACCTGTCGCAGCCGTGTCCTTTCTGTCAATGCCCCTTTCCTGACTTGGTTCCTATGCATGATTTTCCTGGCAGTTAGTTGTGGGTTTTGCAAACTGAAACAATTCCAATGTTTGTGCTACTGGAGATCTAGCTAGCAACTCTGCTTTTCAGAGACTTGGATGAGGTTAACAGCTGGAAGACCTGTTCTGTTGGATTCTATGAATCCAGAAGGGACAGTGCAGGAATGTGTAGTTATTGTATGATATCATATTGCTTCTTCGGGCCTCACAAGATGCTACAGTCTCTCTTCTCCCTGTACAGGAGTCTATTTCTTCTTTCCTTGTTCGTTGTTACCACTCATCCCATTCCTCTTCTTCTCAGGAGCATCCTGTCTCCTTTGCAGGTGTAGTCTGTGCGTTTGCCAATACATTCTGTACAGGTCACTATACCCACACTCTGCCCCTTGCATGACTCTTTTTCTGTCCAGTGGTGTCTTTCTGGCTGTGAAAGGCTGCCTATTCTGCTCTCTCTGAATAGTAGACTACCTCCTCCTGTCAAGGCATTTGTTTTTTTGCCTTTATACAGGAGGTATTCCTTTTTACCCTCCTAAGGGCAGGAGTCACCCCTTTGAATTTCTCTGATTACTCATGCCTGTTTCCCACAACCCTCGGGGGGGGGTCCCCAAAATGCTTTATTGTCAGGACAAGATAAATATATACAGTATTATGCTCTGTATTATGGTACATTGGGGATGTGCCTCTCAGGCAGGTGTCTACCTGTCAAACTCTCTCTGCAGAAAAACTTTTTCCAAACCCCCGGTCTTTGCAGTTGTCCCCATCACCCCTCATCATTTTGTGCAAGAGTTTCTCTCCATCTCTATGCAGGGTTTTCTACAAGAATTTTTTTATCACAAAGACACTCTCCCACTCTCTTTTGTATGCACGAGTCTTCTTGTTTTTCCCAGATTTTCCAGTATCTCCCAGTCTGCATATATCTCTGCCTCCCCTTTTGCAGGGGGGAGGGATATTTACATCTTGAATGCACTTGGTAAGGAGTGTAACTGTTTGTTGTACATGGTGGGATAACCCTAATAAAATAAAACTCTTAGCAAATATACATAAATAATGAATAAGTAAAAACTAATTTGCCTAAAAATTTATATTTGTGGGGGGCGGGGTCTGAAGCTCATGTCGACTGGACGTGTGTTGGGTAAGCTCCAAGCATGTTCCTCAATTTAAGCCGATCATCCGTCCTGCACAGCACTGAGCGAGCACAGAGATATCTTGCAGCCCCGTTCCCCACTGGCTCCCAGCGCTTATCAGTGCTTACCTATGCTGCTGTACTTAGGTGAAATCTGACTGCAACTCATCCACACAAGTTGGCTGTTGCGCCTTCACCTCAGAATCACAAATTCCCACAGTCTGAGAGAACAACTCATGAATGGGCTGCACAATACCTGATGCGCTTGAAGGGGATCTTTGAGAACTTCTGGGTGTCTTTGGAGGCACGCATGTCAGGAAAGCCACTTGTACCTCAGGAAGGTGAATGGAGGAGTGAGAGCGAGGGGAGAGGGCCCACCTCGGGCAAAAAACCTTCACCAGCAAATGTTCCTGCTACTACTAGCCCACCTGGGTCAACGGCCAACAGGAGTGAGACCCCAGTGCATCATCCATATGTACAGAAGGTTACCCGCACTCAACGGGCCTACAACACCTGGGTCTTCTGTTATCCCCCTATGGGGAAGGACTTGGGCTTTGAGAGCCCCCAAATCCGTGGTTTACTGATGCGGGCCGGGATAATGGCTGAAGAGTCGCCCTAACCCGTACCTCTAATATGGCTACCTCCAACGACCTTCACATGCCTACCACAGTGAGCTTGACACGTCAGGGAATTGGCCAAAACTTCACTTTTCCCACTTGGGTAATCTGACAGTTCTTCTGTGGGGTCCCCTCTGGTGGTTGCACTTAATTTATCAAATCGTTGTTACATGTTAAACCAAGCTAGTTTTCCTTACTTTTGTTTATATATTCTTAGACCATCATATTGTTTCAGCCTAATATAACATGATGTAGCTGTGATAGTGGGGATCCAGTGGCTACTATACTATGTTTGCCATGTGCCTACTTATGCCTTGCTAACTACGTACCTAGCTTTTGTTTATTAAGTGGACATATCCATTTAGCTTGAGTTCCAATATTATAACATAAATTAAAAATGTGTAGCTTTACCAAATGCCATGCTTTTACTGTTGTTGATATGTGTATACATGCTGTTGTGGCATTATATGTGTGTTTGTCAATCCTTTGTACTATCAAAATAAAGAATAATTTAAAAAAAAAATTATATTTGTATTTATACCATCAACCCATAGTAAAGTGTATGCACTAGAAATAAGTAAAAATTAGGGGAATCTATATGGAAGTAATACATATTGTACATCACGGCAGTGCAGAATATGTTGGGGTCTTAAAAATAAGAATTAGAACATCATATCGAAGTAAAATCTCAATATAGAAACAAGTTAATCTGTGTCTTATAGATATCAGGCTCAGGGTACAGCCAAAGTGTACGCATGGGATAAGTGGTCTGTTTGCTACTGGTAAGAACTAATTAAAGAAACACTATAGTGTTAGGAATTCAAAAATGTATTCCCAATGCTATAGTGCTTTTGTCATAGGAAAGCTAGTGCGCATGCACAGGCAATAGCCGTGCTGCACCATTCAGATGTTCTCTAACGGCATCGGTTTCAGCTACAGGGTACAACAGGGGTCACATGGCACCCAGACTACTTCATTGAGATGAAGTGGTCTGAGTGCCTATAGTGTTCCTTTAATCCTTTAAAATGGACACTTCAAGCACCAAAACTACTACAGATTACTGAAGAGCTGGGTAGGCATTCAGTTGGCTTTACAAAAACCGAGCACCAAAAACACACCCTATTTACCTGTGACATATCTGTCATTTAAAGGATTAAATTACCTGCAGCATTCCTACATGATCTCAGTTAGCTATTTGTTTCGGTATAGTAATTGTGAGAAAGGCCTCTTGAAATAAAGCTTCTCATAACAGTGCATGTCGGTGTTTACGTAGCAGTAGTGAGCCAAGCACTAGTGCACATGGTGAAAACACTATAGAGGATCTACAATTGTGATACTATGAGTCGTGCTATGTTCCAGATGGATGGGTTTGTTAGGGTGCAGAGTAAAATGATAATTTGTCTACATGTCATTTTATCCACAGATTAAGCATAATCATTTATCATTTTTAAGCTTTTAAGTACATTTCTGAGTGAATTCAGAGAGACAGTAATAAAGCATTTTAAAGTTAAAATGAAAGAGTGACCCAACAAAGAAAAGCTTTATACTAACCAATACAGCTAAAATGAACAAAAATGTTGACTATATTTGTAGGAGTCCATGTGTATGATGGGATGTATTATATTCTAATCAGTTCTAAAAGGTGGGTAAGATTAATTATTTAAATATAAAAAACAATATAGCCCCTCTTGGACGAGTAATTGTTTCTACTGCTTTAGATTGTTTTCTAATCTATTAGTAAGCTTGTATCAGGGCTCTCCGGTTCCTGTATGTCCCACTTGTCTTTTTGCAACTACTCGATTGTTAGTCCACGTATTGCACAGAGCCACATAATTCATAAAAATAATATTCTTGGGGCACATGCTTCAGGATTAGTGAATTATAAGGCAGTACCATTTCTTTTCCAATAGATGGCAGTAGACTGTTGGTGCTTTGCAGTAAAATATTGCCACTTTTCCACCTTACCAGTAGCCTGGGGGTAATTTAAAATCATAAAACATTATAATTTCAGACAGATTACTAGATTTTGTATACTGCAAACCCATGAATTAAGGGTAACAACAGTAAGCACAAAAACTGTTTTCATTTCCTATTCTACCCAAGGTTTTTTTTTTTGGTGTGTTATTGTATCCAATAAGCAGCAAGCAGGTATCTCTTCCTGAAATATCGCTCTGTCTAATGGAGTTTATAATTCCTCTGGGAGAACTTGGTCATGACTCAAATGATATATTTTAGAAGTAAGCTTTAACTAATCAAACTATTTCCTCCACGGGTTTCTATTATTTTGAATGTGAGGAAATAACTGTGGCTGGGGCCCTTGCCCACCCGGAGAAGTTGCTGTTTAAACTTGGGGGTGTTTATTTGAGTCTGTCAGAGCTCCCCTGATTTCCCTACACGGCTGGCTGATCTCAACTCCTCTGCAGGCCTCAATCCTGAATGAAAGCATTGTCCGATACAAGAGCAGACTTCCCTTCTCTGAACGATGGGTCAGGAAGCATCTTTGTGTGCAGACATATGGTATAGCTTTCCTCACGTTTTTCCACATTGCTTCCTGTAAATCTTTTTGTTATTAAGTTACCTTTTTTTTTTTTTTTTTTAATACATTGCCATTTCTAACAATTTCTTCTTCTTCTGTACGATCAATAACCTTACTTTTTTCGTCCTCTGATGAGTGGGACAATCATCATGAAAAGGGAATGTACATGTCAAAGGAACGTACACCAAGTGTTTTTCTTTTTGTACTACTGGATCATAATGGATCTATTTCTCAAAAAAACCTAAATGAATTAAATCTTTAAATAAGCTTTGTTTTATTTAAAGGGAAAACAAACTTTAAAATTGTGACAAAATATATTATATTTGTTAAAGTCATAACCATTTGTTTGAAATTGATTTTTTTTTTTTGTAAAGGTCGAGCATACATATATCGAAGTATGTCAGATTATGGCCGCCTACACAGAGGCTTATGGAGGCAATATAAGATAGGACTTCGATATTTTGATCAGTAACTCTGGTGGGCTTCTAAAGGAATTTGAAAACATGCATTAGAATGGAGCATTAACAAGAGTCATGGGTAGATCGTTTTTCCAAGAACAGAGGTAAAAATATAATTTGTGACATCTACGTGCATGCAAGCCAATGATTAGGGTAACCGTCTCTCGCAGGGGAGGCAAAGCTGAGATATTAGCAAACAGTAGCTCTAGCAAATATAATGCAGTATTAGAAATAACGAACCATGTCTGTAACATGTAGCAAAGTATAGTCAGTAGGTATTTCTCAATGTAAAATCCTAACAGTATTATCTTAAGCTAACCTGTCATCCTCTCATCATCTCCCTTAACTCCCCTCCCATCTCCCGGGTAACTCTTCACATACCAAGGTCTCACAGGAGGCATGTTTAGGAGCAAGTTAAACTAAGCCATATCTTGAGTTAGGCAATAAAACGGTGAAAAAGAGAGGGAAGCCAAAAAATAAAATGGGGGGAGTATGGGGAAGTAAGGGGAGAGGTATAGAAGGAAAGGAAGGGGAGTGTGGATTTCTACCGCCCGGTCCACCATGCCCCATGGATCCCTTCCCGGGGTGATCCTTTCTTGTCCCGATTGGCTCTAGCACACCAGTCTTAGGTTGTGGCCAGAAGCACTTGATGTCTCCAGAAGCCAAGTGACATCTCAGAGTATACTTCTCCCTTGTGGCCTTCAGATCCTCTAATTGTCTTGTGTCTTCTACCTCGTCTGCCCAGTGCCTGGGTGGGGGTGTGCATGGCTATTTCCAGAACATGGGAATCACCATTTTTGCCCCATCAAGTAGTACGGGCACCGCTGATCTCTTATATGCAGGTGTTGGCATTGTGGTATGGTGCAGAATGAAGGTTGCTGGCTCCATCTGTGGTTGTTCATCCGTCAAGTCACCAATCACTCTTCTGGCCATTTCCCAAAACGGTGCTATCAAGGTGCATTCCTACCAGATATGGGCAAATGTCCCTACTGCCGTTCCACAGTGCTAGCATTGATTCGTTCTGACGGGTCCCTGGAAGGTCGTTGGTGACAGGTAACATCGGTTTAATACTTTGTAGGAGCTTTCCAGCAGACGTGCTGATGCTAGTGTCTTTTGTATGTGAGCAAACATTTTGTCCCACTCAGCTTCGGTGAAAGATTGTCCGAAGTCTTCCTGTCACTGTCTGATGCACGGTGGTGCCAGCAGGTATCTTCCTGTGGTTTGCATATTATAGACCAATGATATTCCCCTAGAAGTCATCGCAGCTTGTGTGCATAAGACCTCAAAGCCTGAGTCATAACCCTTTGTACAGAAGATACATTATCTTTAATAAATAATAGGTGAAATATGTTAGTAAACACCTATCCTCTGCTTCACTTTTTCCAATTCACCACATTTGGAGTGATAATACGAAGTTAAAGAGAAACTATAGGCAATGAAGTGGTTTGGTTGCATTTCCCCTGCCATTGTACCCCTTTGAAGAAAAAGACTGCATTTTTGGAGACACCACAGGTTTTCTTTTTATCTCCCAGGGATAATCCCACCTCAGTGGTTGTCTCTCATGCAGACAATAAATGGGGTCCTGATTAGTAACCAAGTAAAAACAGGCTATTTGATGTTCAATGTCCTTACGCTTTGCATGAGGACGTCTAACATCATCTATATGCAATGCAGGCAGCTTTAATATGAGTGTGCCTGCATTGAAAACTAGAATTGCAGAAGCTCCATAGGAAAAGCAATGATTCAATTCCTATGGGTAAAGCTTAAAAACACATACAGCACTCGCTGAGCATGTGCTTTAAGTCCCCAATGCCCCTCTATGACGAGAATTTAACTTGACCATCGGTGAAAAAGGCTATGCCTCCTCTGTGACATCACTGAAGAAGGAGAAGTTAGCAGCCTTGAGGGAGCCACGGCGCTAGAAAAGGTAAAAAAGAAATCTTTAAAATTTTATTTTTTATCAGGAAGTCAGACTTTGTTGAACATGTCGATAGCATACAATGAGTATTATTCATCATAAAAGATTAAATGGCCACTATAGTCACCAGAACAACTACAGCTTAATGTATTTGTTCTTGTGAGTATAATCATTTCCTACATGTTTTTTGCAGTAAACACTGTCTTTTCAGAAAAAAGGCAGTGTTTACATTATAGCCTAGTGATAACTCCACTGGCCACTCCTTAGATGGCTCATAGAAGCGCTTCCTGGGGCAGAGCTGAGTGTGCAGCACTGCCATTCAGTGTCTCCACCTTCTGCATGCAGACACTAAACTTTCCTCATAGAGATGCATTAATTGTAGATTATACTAGCTTTACTGTAACTATAATCTTAATTTTATTAATGACAGGAGGCGAATATTTGCTTAAGTCTCTCTTTACTATAACTCCACAGCAGCACATTAACATAGATAGAAAAACACCAGAGACAAAAAACTCAGGAATCCATAAAAGGCTTCTCCCAACAAACTAATTCCTCTTTCATGCTGCGACAAAATAAAGTACATGAACGATACACCACAAATACAATAACAAGAGAAACATAAGATAACGATGAATGCCATACGAAATTGGAAACGTGGAACCAGTGGATGAAGTCTTGACCTTTATCCTGTAGAGTAGTCGGATCTAAGAACTGTAGCTGAACCATTAAACTGAAACAAGATAAACAGAGTCGAAAACACTGATTACTGAATGAAATGTACTGAGAAAAACATGAATCCCCATCGTCAATACTGACAGTATAATATCCCAGATACTGAGAAAACATTAATCCCCATCATAACATACTGACGGTACCATATCCCAGATAAACTCCAACTCCCCCAGATTAACAAACCTAGCCCAGGAGACCAGGAATAAACAAAAGTCAGTCAAACCAGCTAACAAACCAGGGAAACTGGGAGGGAAATAATCGCCTCCTGTCATTATAAAAATTAAGATTATAGTTACACTAAAGCTAGTATAATCTACAATTTTATAACATGACAGATGGCTTCATATTTGCTGTTTTAACGCTCGGACAGCAAAGCCCAAAGAAACACGATCCTCCGTACCATCCTAACTTAACGAAGATAGTTCCCGTAAGCGGCAGGAAAGTGTACAGTGTCCTGGAGAAAAACGCCACCATGACTGTGCCTGAAGTCGCCGAGTACCGACTGAAATGAACCGAAAGACCTATACACCCCGCCAATGCCAACAAACACCGGGCGGTACATGAAGGGCGAAAATTAAAGGAAAAGAACCGTCAAAACAAACGGTGGCGTCTACCGCAACATAAAAAAGAGGGGGGCGCAACCAAGACAAGAGTATAACCCTCGGGTCCGACTAGAGCCGATAGACAACTAAGGTCTGAACATCCGAACCCATCTGAAAGAAGAAAAAAGGGTATGATAAGGGGAACAAATCCAGAGTTGGAGATGGACAAAACCCGACAAAAACCGGCGATTGAGGCATGACAAACAATGCGTGTACCCCTTGGGGAAATGAATACCCGTCCTCGGGAATCGAGAGGACTCACACCACTATGAACCCGCACGTCTAGCGTGAAGGGAATCTAAGTGATACGACAGTCCTCGGTCAATAAAACGACCAAACAATAATCGAACCCTGTAACTGTGTTTGCTAAATTTCTGTTAATCTGTACAAGACCCAACTTCGTCATGGTCGCCATGCAGGCAAACGTCTTACGGTCCCCGAGATCAAGTGGGACAGGTCCAGGGAATCCGGGCACTAGTCTCGACCGAAGCGGAGGTCATAAAACCAAGGTACCAGCAGACCGAGACACTCGTAGTAAAGTCCTGGAAACAACGTGTCGAAACACCCCTGGAGGGAAACGTCCATCACTGAGCAAACTGGTCTGTATGCCGGCTGAAACTGGACGGGGCTTAATGGGTCCTCCTCTGTGGGCTAAGGTCTTGATGCTGGGTCTTCCCAGAAAACTATTCCAATCGTATGAGAAACTCGGATAGGGGGAAAACGTAGGCGGTACCCCCTTGTGTCCGATCCGCCCTCCAGGACTCTATACCTCGAGCCGCAGGGGGGGTCAATATTCCTCATTTGAACACGAACTCCAGGGACCCAAACAAGGAAAACGCAGATAGCGTCTGTCCCTTCGGTCTGGAGGGCAGCTCACCGAGGATCCAGCCAGCCCATCCGGGTAGACCGTCCCGCGAAACGTCCTCGTGGAAAAAACTAGAAGGACGCCCCAGGTCCTTATCTCGCCAGGGAGAAACTTGAGCCCGCCTTACCAGGAATGGGCCCCGCGGTCCTGGAAGTTCCCTGAGGACCGCGTCTAATTCAAAGTAACTAATGGCTATACCTTCAAGCGTAGTCTCGTGCGGGCTCCAAAGGCCTCAGATCCCTTGATCCCAAGCACCTCCAGCGGTCCAAATTCACTAAGGTAGGGTTTCCTGCAATCCCCAGGTTCGGGGTCCCGTCTGTTATGTCATCCTAAGGTGGAGGCAACTGTGACATTCCGGACGCAGGGTCCAATCCCTTATAACAGGTACGGGTTGGAGCTTTAGATATGTCTCCATAACGTTTTTTCATATGAAAACTGGGACCCAATATTCTTCCCCGTATGTCCCCTAGGACAACCCACTCGTGTAGGGGAAAACCCTTGGCTTGTCAGTGTGGACTGAAAAGTAGAGTATAGGCACCGCAGCGGGCCGTACTCCGGATCTCCTGTATACTAGACAGGCGTTGCCACTAGGAGAGCCGTAGGGCCCCATCGGGGTCTAAGTCTGGGTACGAGGCTACTTTGTTCGGGAGCCCGGCTGGGTATACCACTCCAAGTATCTTGCGGGCTTCTCAAGTCAGCGATCTACCAGCCCAGCAATGCACCAATGTTGCTAGGTGCCCGGGCCAAGACCCGTCCGAAGAAATTAGCAATTGGTCGAGGGTCGCACAGGGGTTCGTTTAAGGCGACCCACAAGATGACCTCTTCTTCCACAGTCGTCAGAGCCCTTGTAGTGGGCTTGTTCTCCGTCCCGCAGTGCCACTTGGGGGCATCATCATAGTCCACCCCCATCGTCCTCTCCTTCCGAGAGGGACCGGTTCTCCCGCCATTCAGCTAGGGCGGCCGTGGTGGGGGTGGGGTCCCGAGGACTATCCCCCTTGCGCCACCTAGGCAGTGTAGTCTGGCCGCCGAGGCCGATCGTATCGGGGTTAGACGCTTCCCAGGAGTCTAATCTGTCCGGGGCGCCTGGTTTAGGGCCTTCATCCCTCCAGTAGTGCTTATGCGCGCTTGCCTGCCCTCCTCAGGGGGGTCTGACTCCTTCAAGTCTTCCACCTTCTTTAGAAGGTGGTCGCTGCCGTAGTAGGCATCGCCTGTGTGCATTCCCCCGACTGAAAGGTTGGCCGTGGAGCGGTCCTAGGCAAGGCAACCTCTAGGGGTATAATGGACAAGTGTCACTGGCAGCAGCATCGGGGCAGCACCCCATCTAGTGACAGAGGCAAATTTGGCAGCGCATGCAATGCCTAAGCGTGAGTATGTAGTCGCAAGGCTTGGCATGCAGATATTCTGGCACAGACAACGCAGGCCAGATCAATGGGGCACAGACAAAGCAGGCCAATCAATGGGCAACAGACAAAGCAAGCCAATCAATACGGCTCGGACAAAGCCAGCCAAATCCTGGGGCACAGACAAGTCAGGCCCTACAGGGGTGCACAGGCGGTCGGGCACATAAGGAGCCTCCATAACTCTCTATTTGGGACATCCTTATCCAGAACTCACTCCTTTATTACCCCTTGGGATCCAGAATCTTGGTGCATTCAGGAGCTGACTCAGAACATCTTGGAGTCCCTTTGTGGCAGGTCTTTTGACCTTTTGATGTGCCTTACTGGCCACCGTTAGTGGCGGACCACTTGTGAGTGTATTAATCACCTTATCTTTTATCTTTGTATCTAACAGCTGCTTTAAGTATATCATTAAGTATACATACTTTCCATTATGTATGTTATGTAAAGAATCAAAAACTGCTACCACCACCGAAATCCATGCTGTGTACTCCAAAATGTTGCCCTTATTTTAGACTGAAATGCCTTATTCAAAGTAGGAATGTGAGGGGTTTTTATTTTTTTTATTTTTATTTTTTAGTGGCCGGGGTGTGGGGACGTGAAAAACACTAGGGAATAAAATACTATAGTGTCAGCCATACAGATTTGTGTTCCTAATGCTATAGTGTTCTTTTAAAGGGATACAATGCAATGATTTTAAGTGGCCATGTAGAGCTGGATTTTACATGTCAATTGCATTTAGACACAGTATTGTAAGGCCCCCTGCCTGCCAGCGATTAAAGTGACTATAATGAATTAACTGGACACTGCAGGCATAAAAACATCAACAACAAAAAATCATATATTGGTATTAGATAACTATATAGCTCTGTCACAGGCTGTGATTTTTTTTTTTTAACTACCCCCCTCACGTTATGAACCCTCACTGTCCAGGCAATGTGTTCTTTTTCAACAGGTACCCCTTTTTTTACCTATATATTTCTTATTTTGCCTCCATTTGGGTCTTGATTCCACTTGCAGCTATCTTCTAATGTCTGCCAGATAATTTTGGTCTCTCCCTTTGTCTGCTTTTCATTGCTGTTTGCGCATACTTAGTACACAATGCACATCGATTAGTCACAGGGTGAGACAAGCATGCTCAGAGTCTCGATGTTTGACACCAAAGGATGTGAAGGACAGGTGAGCGTTATGAAATAAGTGAACTTGACAAAGGAAGAGGAGATTGCCTTGGGAAGACAGCCAAGATAGCTCTGCATTCAAAACACAAAAAAAAACTTACCCATTAAACAGCAATGTTTTTTCAATTGCAGGCCTAAAACCCCTGGGGCACTACAGCCAGACCAATTTATTGACTCAATATGCTCGCATTTGCTGCCTCCTGATTGCTTGACCTTTAATGGTCTGCATCAAAATTGCTGTTTATAAATATTGCCCTTAATGTTACACAAGCTTTAACTTTCTCATTCTGAAGTTATTTGGGGCTGTGTTTTTTTCGTTCTTTAATGGTTATACGCTGTGTTTTGTGGAGTAGTATCCCTATGTTTCCACACAGATTGGCTGCGTCTATGTAATTTTTACCTGGACGCAATGCTTTGTTTTCATAGCTGGAATACTGGCAGAGGGAAGGAAAAAAAAACCCAAAAATATATATTTTTTTCTTGTTACAAATGCATTTTTTGCATGTCTTGCAATAACAGCACAATTTTAAAGACATTGGCAGGCATCTGAAACTGCTGCTCATTTTGCACTGGTTATTTTCCAGAGTAGCGTGTGTTGGAAATAATAATATGATATTTAACCCTTATGTCTCTGCAAATGTTCAATGAATTTACAGGACGATGACTCCTCTATGCCAAATCAGGCTGTGTGGATTCGCCATTAAAGCATGTCTATTTTAATATAAATATATGTTCAAATTCCTCTTTGACATTGTGTCTCTTGGTTTTTCTTGACATATCAGATTAGTAGGCTGTTGCTGCCTCCGCCCTGCCCTGTTTCACATTCCCTTCCCCTTTTGGTTTTTCCTTCCTTCCCTCACAATGAGGACCCCGTTCCTCTACAGAATATGCTTGGGCTTGTTTCGGCACACACAACCGTCATTTCTTACACCCTTAGTTTTTTTTTTTTCTTCCCTTTTGTCTGGTATCATGTCTGATGTCGCGGCCACCGTTTTGACAAAGAACAATAGTAGTAACTGCGGTTGTGCCTGATGCGTGCCCACCATTTTGGACATGGGCAAGCTTCCCCACTTCTTTTTTGCCCTCTCAGCGCTTGTTTCAACAAGGGATTGTCAGGAATACAGATGGACCCAACACGCAGAGTGTAATAGAATATATAACGTATACCGATCCTTAGAGTGGCCAGGAAAACGTATACAAGGACAGAGAGTAGTCAGGGACAAGCAATGTCAGGGAAGCCATAAATCAGGAATAGTGAAAAAAACAATAGCCAAGTCAAAATAGAATATAGAATAGTCAATCAAAGACAAAGTCAGAGCTAGGAATACACAACAACAATAACGCACTATTGGGAACAAACTTGAACCACAACAGGGAAATGACTTATTCCTAAGAGCCTTTTTGTATTGTGGTGATGTATCTACTATCACAGATAGTGACATCTGTTGGGATTTATACTACCGTATTCAGTCTGCATTCAATGAGAGGTGCCATTGCTTCCAAAGTTTTTTCTAGAAGACCCCCTGAAGGCTGTGGATTGGTCTCAGGAATCCACATTCAGGGAGCTTTACTTAAGACTAACATGATATTTTAAGTCTTTGGTTATTTACATGTGCAGAGGACTGACCGCTTGACCCTTCTGCTGCCTCCTGAGCAAAAAGGACATATACTCTGTAAGTCTCAGAGTCCATTGTCTAAAGGTGTTGACCCTTTTTCAAATCCTGGGGCTGGAGAGGAGCACCATCCCAGTACCGCTGCGCTGCTGCTCCCAAAGCACCCCTGACAAAGCTGCTGTACGACTGGTTAATTTCTTTTGTAATTATATATTGCACAATGCTTAGCGCCAGGGCCGGCGCTACCTGTTAGGCGGACTAGGCAGCCGCCTAGGGCGCCCCTTGGAAAGGGGCGCTGCCAGGAGCGCCGGCCCCCCCATGCTGCAGCCGCCCGAGCGCTCTGTAGAGAGCCTCAGGCGGCTGCAGCTTTTACCGGGCGGTGCGTCCATGAGGGCGGACCGCACCGCCC